TCCATTGGTGGCTATTAGCCACAAGGTATAGATAGGAACTCTCAGTTTGGGGCAAGGGATGCTCTGTATTCTTGGTGCTCGGGGGGGGCAAGAGTGGGAGGGCTTCTGGTGTCCTGGCCCCACTGCTCGACCTCTTGATGGCCCCTGGTATTTTTGGCCACTGTGTGATAGAGTGTTGGACTGGATAGGCCATTGGCCTGATCCAACAATGGCTTCTCTTATATTCCTGTGTCTGGGGCAAGGGATGCTCTGTATCCTTGGTGTTTGGGGGGGGGCAACAGTGGGAGGGCTCCTAGTGTCCTGGCCCCACTACTGGACCTCCTGATGGCACCTGGCATTTCTGGCTACCGTGTGACAGAGTGTCGGACTGGATGGGCCACTGGCCTGATTCAACATTGGCTTCTCTTATGTTCATATAGGAACTCTTTGTCTGGGGGATGCCCTGTATTCTTGGTGCTGGGAGGGGGGTCAACAGTAGGAGGGCTTCTAGTGTCCTGGCCCCACTGCTGGACCTCCTGAGGGCACCTGGTATTTTTGGCCACTGTGTGACAGAGTGTTGGAGTAGCTGGGCCACTGGCCTGATTCAACATTGGCTTCTCTTATGCTCTTATGTTCTTATTTTTTTTAAAGGCAATATTCAAACTCCATGGAAACTGCTTCTCTGTCTTTATCCTGCGTGTAATTTGGCTTCAGCCGTCCCTCGGCAGTGATAATTAAGACAACCTGATGGAAAAATTCTGAGTGGTCACACGACTAGGATGGACTTCGGTGCCACAGGATGTTTAGGCTGAGGGTTGGTTTTTTTATTTTCCACGGTTGTGGTGAACGGGGGGGGGGGGGAATAGTTTACACAGAGGCAGGGTGTGGTGATGTGGATGAGGAGCTCGGTTAGCCAAAGTCAGAAATCTGGTGGAGAAGATGGGCCCGCTGTTTGGAAAAGCTCCTCCACACGGAGTAGCTCAACCACAAAACACTGGCCGGGGTACCGAGGCGAGATCGTTTCCTCCTGGAAACTGCAAGGCATGGATGCCATTGATCGGTTGGATCTGTGTTGCTGGATCGCCCCAGTCTTGGGATTTGGGGCAGTGAGCTGTACTTGAAGAATGCAAGCCGTGGTTAAAGACATCTAAATTGCAGCCAGACCAAAACGTAAATACGTTCGAAACTTCTTCTGCCTTGAGACACCCAAAACGGCTAGGGGGTGAGTCAAGATCTGAGAGGCAAAACACAAAATGGCAAAGAGTTCTGTAGGAGCGTGAGGATAGATCCCTGTAGGCGGACTCCCCCCACACACACACACACAGAGTGATTCATGGTACGGCTGATCTTATTCGTCCTACTTCCATGCTTTTGGAACTCTTCCGTGATTTAGTTGCACCACCCGCACAAAAGGAGAGGGGGGAAAGCCGTTTTCAGTGTGCTTTCGTCTCTGGAAGAAGAAGGAGAAGAGATTAGATTTATACCCCACCCTTCACTCGGAGTCTCAGTGCAGAAAACCCAAAGTTATAGCATCAGAAGAAGAAGAAGAGATTGGATTTATACCCCACCCTTCACTACCTGAAGGAGTCTCAGAGCGGCTTACAATCGCCTTTCCCTTCCCCTCCCTAAAACACTGTAAGGCAGGCGGGGCTGAGAGAGCTCTCTCGAGGACTGCCCCTGAAAGAACAGCTCTGAGAGAACCTGTGACTGACCCAAGGTCACACCAGCAGCTGCATATGGAGGAGTGGGGAATCAAACCCGGTTCTCCCGGATGGCCGTGCAGGGAAATGGAATCGCAGTTTCTTTTCATTAGAATTTTGTGTGTCACCTGTGAACATTCTCAAAAATGTGGCAGGGAGGTCAGTTGTGAATCCTGGTAGGCTGAGTGCCACGTTTTTGAGAGTTTGATTGGTGGTTCCCTCTTGAGAGCTAGTTTGGTGTAGTGGTTAAGTGTGCGGACTCTAATCTGGGAGAACCGGGTTTGATTCCCCACTCCTCCACTTGCACCTGGCTGGATGACCTTGGGCAAGCCATAGTTCTGTCACAGCTGTCCTTGAAAAAGAGCAGTTTCTGTCAGAGCTCTCTCAGCCCCACCGACCTCACAGGGTGTCTGTTGTGGGGAAGGGTAGGGAAAGGAATTTGTAAGCCGCTCTGAGACACCTTTGGGTAGTGAAGGGCGGGGTATAAATCCAATCACCTCCTCCTACTCCTGAATACACTGAACCTGGCAATATATTATATATCAACAGATTGCAAACAACGTTAGAATTATATACTTCTTGTATTCTGTAAGACCCGAGGAAGGCGCCAGAAACCGCCTCTCATTATCTTACAATTTTCCTGCATCTTCATTTTCGTCTAGACTTCCATATCGACTTATAACCCTATGGGGCAAACACTGTAATTTTTGAATAACTCTTTGGATAATTTTTTGGATGTTTTGTACGCACATTGAAATTATTGTGTTTTGAGATATAATAAATCAGCATTACAAGCCAGTTTGGTGTAGTGGTTAAGTGAGTGGTCTCTAATCTGGGAGAACCGGGTTTGATTCCCCCACTCCTTCACATGCAGCGGCTGGATGACCTTGGATCAGTCACAAGTTCTCTCGGAGCTGTTCTCTCAAGGGCAGTCCTCGAAAGAGCTCTCTCAGCCCCACCTACCTCACAGGGTGTCTGTTGTGGGGAGGGGAAGGGAAAGGAGATTGTATGTTTATATATATTTCTTTATTTGCTGGTTTGAATATACATTACTATCGTTCCATTGTTCCATTTTTAACATTTTCTCCCTAGTCCCTCCCCCCTCAGTCTAATCTTCCTTTTTCAGCCAGGAGCACAGAGTCTGTAGCTTCCACTGAACGTCTTCTTTCTGCTCCTCCTTTATCCCGTTCAGGTAGAGAGACCATTTTTCCTTCATCCGCGATGTTCTATCCTCTCATGGCAGATCCTGGCTAATTGTAGCCATTATATCTGACCGAGCAAATTCAAACAAATAATTATGCCAGGTTCTTTCTGTCCATTTACTTTTATCTTTCCACCCTATTGCTATCACTGCTTTGGGAAAGGAGATTGTAAACCGCTCTGAGATTCCGAGTGAAGGGCAGGGTATAAATCCAATCACTCTTCTTCTCTTCTTCTTCTACTAATACATTGGAAGATTTAAAAAAACCAGACAAAAATTGAGTTGATTTAAGATTACATTGGTTATTGTTTATTACATGGTGCTTTCGCCTTACTAACTTTCAGGTTGGAAGTGACGTGACGACGCCGGAAGTGACCCGGAAGTGACGTGACCCGGAGGTGACGTGACGCCGCCGGGCACACTGGCGGCGGGGCCACGACCATCCGAGGGAAAAACATAGAGGTTTCCCTCGGATTACTGTGGCCCCACCCCCAGCGTGCCCACGTCACTTCCGGGGAACGGGCCTCTGGGGCGGGGGTTTCCCCGCCCCCCGGGGGGACTTGGGAAGCCTAATCCTTCCTAAAATGTGGTGCCCAAAACTGGACACAATACTTCAGGCCTCACCTGAAGTCCTGTGTCCAGTTTTGGGCACCACATTTTAGGAAGGATGTTGACAAGCTCGAGCGTTCCAGAAGAGGGCAACCAGGATGGTGAGAGGGTTGGAATCCAAGTCTGACGAGGAAAGGCTGAAAGAGTTGGGTCTGTTTAGCCTGGGAAAGAGAAGGCTTAGAGGGGACATGACTGTGGTCTTCAAGTATCTGAAGGGCTGTCATGTAGAAGACGGAGCGGATCTATTCTGTCTTGCTCTGGATCGCAAGAGTAGATCTAATGGGTGGAAATTACAAGGGAGTCGTTACCGGCTAAATATCAGGAGAAACTTCCTAACTGTGGTTGAGCAGACTGCCTCGGGAGGTGGTGGATCCTCCTTTGCTGGAGGTTTTCAAGCGGAGGCTGGACGACTCTTTCGGGTATGTTGTATGGCTCTGTTTTGGCTACGCTCCTGCAGAGTGCAGGGGGCTGGACCAGATGACCTGCAAGGTCCCTTCCAACTCTAACATTCTATGATTCTATCTGGGGCAGTGATTCTCTGTATTCTTGGTGCTTGGGGAAAAACAGTAGGAGGGCTCCTGGAGTTCTTTCCCCACTAGTGGACCTTCTGATGGCACCTGAGTTTTGGCCGCTGTGTGACACAGAGTGTTGGACTGGATGGGCCACTGGTCTGATCCAACATTGGCTTCTCTTATGTTCTTATGGGGGACATGCCACATAATTCTTCCATCTTTTCCGTGACTGTGGGCATCTACTGCTCTGCAAGGCCTTCCCCCCCACTTCCTATTTCCCATGAAGCTGAGAAGCTGTGGGGGAGTACTTTCAGTTTCCCATTTCACCCATGCCTCGTTGAGAAGAGAAGGCTTCACTAAGGACCGAATCGGGGGCTGTTACTGAGGAGTAGGGGTCTGGAGGTGAAACTGGCCTCCATCTACTTTATAACTTCCAAGTTCCATTGATTTCAGTGGAAGGCATGTAAGTCTCTCGATGGCTACTAGCCCTGGTGGTTGAGGGGAACCTCCACATTCAGAGGCACTAAGCCTCTGAAACCCAGAGCCAGGAGGTAACATCAGGGGAAGGCCTCGGCCTCTGTGCCCTGTTCTTGGACCTCCAGAGGAACTGGTTGGCTGCTGTGTGAGACAGGATGCTGGACTAGATGGACTATTGGTTTGATCCAGCAGGGCTCTTCTCATGTTCTTATGAGGGCCTTGGCCCCTCTGCCCTGTTGTTGGCCCTCCAGAGGCTGGGACAGGAGGCTGGACTAGATGGACTATTGGTTTGATCCCTAATGTTCCGATGAAGGCCTCGGCCTCTGTGCCCTATTGTTGTCTCTCCAGAGGAACTGGTTGGCCACTGTGTGAGACAGGAGGCTGGACTAGATGGACTACCAGTCTGATCCAGCAGGGCTCTTCATATGATGTTCTTATGAGATCGCCTCCAGCCAGCAAATCTACTGGCAACCCTACTCCAACTCTGGACCAATGGATGCTATTCTTTCGGGCTTCTGACAGGTTGAGTCTGAGGACCAAGTCTTGGCTACCTTCTGTGGGAGAGAAGCCACAGACACAGAACAGACCCCGGGCGAGCAAGCCATCACCTCTCCTGGGTCGTACATGAGCCTCACGTTCAAGTCGGACTTCTCCAACGAAGAACGCTTCACCGGTTTTGACGCCCATTACACAGCAGTTGGTAAGTAGCCCGAATTCTGTGACTCGGTGTCCCAGGCTTGTGGTTTTCATAAAACCCCTTTAAGACCAACAAGATTTAATTTGTGGTATAAGCAGGGCTTTTTTTTGTAGAAAAAGCCCAGCAGGAACTCATTAGCATATTAGGCCACACCCTTGACCGCACAGCTCATTAGCATATTAGGCCGCACCCCCATGTTACCAGAAGTGTGGTCATCCAGCCACACCCACCTTTTGCTTGTGATTCTGTTTACCTTGTTTGTTGTCAAAACCCAGAGGGGTTTTTTTGTAGCAGGAACTCCTTTGCATGTTAGGCCACACACCCCTAATGTAGCCAATCCTAATGAGTTCCTGCTGTTGGGTGTGGCCTATTATGCTAATGAGTTCCTACTGGGTGTGGCCAACTCGGGAGCCAGCCAGAACTCCATTCCTGTGCGTTCCTGCCCCAAAATAGCCCTGGGTATAAGCTTTTGTGTGCATGAAGTGTTCCTGCACACAAAAGCTTCTACCCTGAATAAAACTTTGTCGGTCTTAAAGGTGCCACTGGACTCAAACTCTGTTCTGCTGCTTCAGACCAACGGGACTACCCCACCTGAATCCCTTTTCTACTGTGTCGGCCAAAGACGTTTTTGCATCATAGGGGATCCTGAGGAATGTTCTAGGGCTGGGCACAGACTCATTCCACACAAGGCACTGTCTGAGCCAATACTGGGTGGGGAAATTCCTGGAGATTTGGGGGAGTGCCACCTGGAGACGGCGAGATTTCAGGAGGTGAGGCACCTCAGCCTCTAATGCCATCGCGTCCGCCTTGCAGCAGAAGACAGGCATAGTGGGAAAGAAGTTCTTGTGCAGAGGTCCATCCGTGGCTATGAGCCACAGGGTATAGAGGGAAGACTCTGTCTGGGGCAGTGATGCTCTGTATTCTTGGTGCTTGGGGGGCAAAAGTGGGAGGGCTTCTGGAGTTCTGGCCCCACTGCTGGTGGACCTCCTGAGGGCACCTGGGTTTTGGCCACTGTGTGACACAGAGTGTTGGACTAGACGGGCCACTGGCCTCCAACATGATACTGATGATTGTTTATTTCTTCCAAGTAGTGTTTTTACTTTACTTTCACTTTTACTTTGCTAAGCTTTTTACATTTTTAAAAAAATTACAGGATTATATTTCAAATGCAATCTTTACACTGCTGCAATCTGCCACAAATGTTGACACAAATGCCTCCCCCCACCCCAATGAGACAGGAGCCACCATTTTTCAGCACTGGTTGACATTTCTGTACAGTCTTCAAGGGCAGGTCCCCATAAAGCATGGGGTAGTAGTCAGTCTTGAAGCTGCAAAGGCACGAGAGATGGATGCTATATCAAAAGGGGACCGAAGCTGAGAATTTCCTGTGCAAATCCTTTGCTTCTTCCTTGTTTTATTGCAGATGTAGACGAGTGCCTTGAGAAGAGTGATGAGGAACTGTCCTGCGACCACCACTGCCACAACTATATTGGTGGCTACTACTGCTCCTGCAGGTTCGGCTACCTCCTCCACTCTGACAACAGGACGTGCAAAGGTATCACCCGCAGATCACCCTTGTAGTTGGCCACGATGTATCTTGTATACAGCTGTCTAGCCCCCAATAGTGACAGGGTATTCCCTGCCTCCAGGTCCCACTGCCCACCTCCGCTGGAAGCATGGGGCAGGAGAAAAATTAAAAACAAAAATAAGGCCTTGTCTACTTACAGGAAGTTCTTACCATAAAGTTCCTGGTGATTCCTAGAGCAACCCAAAAAGTAACAATCGGTAACTCTAGGAATGGCCAGAGACTCTATGGTAAGAACTTCATTTTTACCATAGAGTTTTCAGTGATTCCTAGACCTACCCTTCACCACTTCCAGGTGGCTCTAAGAATCACCAGGAACTCTATGGTAAGAACATTTTGTAAGCAGATGAGGCCTTAATTTTCTTTTTAATTTCTCTCCTGGGAAGGTGCCCCCTTCCCCAATCCTCCCTCGAGTTGCCTAATTGTAGCTATACAGCTCTTGTTTCCTCTGTAAAAGCTCTGTTTCAGGGGTGTTGAACTCATTTGTTATGAGAGCCGGATCTGACATAAATGAGACCTTGTTAGGCTGGGCTATGTGTGTCGTTTAAATGTAGTGCCAGGTAGCGGAGATATACATTTTATAAAGGACACAAACACAAAGGGTGGTTTTTTTACTTAAAATGAAAACATGCTTAAAACATCAGCACTCTTGCAATATTTTGTTTATATAACAGTGTCTGATAACTGACACCTCTAGCTCTGAATCATTGCATCAAAATGCCTGTGCTGTTGCAATCTTGAGTACGCTGTCCAGGTGTGTATCCGTAAGCTGCAAGCCTACGATGATGCAGCAGCAGCAGAACTGGAAGCAGCAGCAGAAGACAGCCAGTTCCACTGTGGGCCCAATAGAAGCCCTCTGGGGGCCTGATCTGGCCCCCGGGCCGCATGTTTGACACCCCTGCTCTATTTCATTATGAGGTGCCTCTAAGCCGCCTGACAGAACCTCTGCCTGAAACGCCAGAGAAGATCTGTGTACCTTACAGCCCGCCAGGATGAACACGGCCCTCCATCAGGGTTTGAGAATCATTATGGGTAGGGTTGCCCGTCTCCAGGTGGGGCCCGGAGATCTCCCGGAATCACAACTGGTCTCCAGGCAACAGAGATCAGTTCCCCTGGAGAAAATGGCTGCTTTGGAAGATGGAGTCTGTGGCATTCTACCCCTCTTGGAGTCCCTCCCCTCACCCAAACTTCACCCTCCACAGGGTCCACCCCCCAAAAAAATTTTTCCCAGAAATCTGTCAACCCAGAACTGTCAACCCTATTTATTGCAGCCTGCCTGAGAATGTAGAGATTGGGAGGGAAGGAAGTAACAGGCCACCTCAAATGCCACAATGTATGGCTGCAGGGCGACGTTCGGGTTTATAGAGCACGTAGAAGAAGCTCTCCATATATGGTCATAGCCAGTGTTCCCTCTAAGCTGAGTTAGTGTGAGCTAGCTCACAGTTTTTTAGCCCAGCTCACAGATTTTTGTCTCAGCTCAGAAAGGGTGGCTCGAGAGCAAACTAATTTATGCATTCGCCAAATCGCTCACTCACAACTTTAATGCCAGTAGCTCACCAAGTAGAATTTTTGCTCACAAGACTCCACAGCTTAGAGGGAACATTGGTCATAGCCCATCAATGTGTAGCCCTTTTTGTTAGGTGCTTAATCATCCTTGTACCCCACCATTCCTCCAGAGGGCCCAGAGCAGTGTTTGTAGAACTATCTGTTACATCACCTAGGGTTCTCAACCTCCAGGTAGGGCCTGGAGATCTCCAGACAACAGATAATAGAATCCTAGAATGTTCAAGGTGGAAGGGACCTTGCAGGTCATCTAGTCCAACCCCCTGCCCTCTGCTCTACAACATACCCGAAAGATGGTCGTCCAGCCTCCGCTTGAAAATGTCCAGCGAAAAAGCATCCACCACCTCCCGAGGCAGTCTGTTCCACTGCTCAACCACTCTGAGAGTTAGGAAGTTTCTCCTGATATTCAGCCGGTATCAGCTCCCTTGTAATTCCCACCCATTAGATCTAGTCTTGCAATCCGGAGCAAGAGAGAATAGATCCGCTCCATCTTCTACATGACAGCCCTTCAGATACTTGAAGACTGCAATCATGTCCCTTGTAAGCCTTCTCTTTCCCAGGCTAAACATACCCACCTCTTTCAGCCTTTCTTCGTAAGACTTGGATTCCAACCCTCTCACTATCCTGGTTGCCCTCTTGGGGACACGCTCAAGCTTGTCAGCATCCTCCCTAAAGTGGGGTGCCCAAAACTGGACACAGGACTCCAGGTGAGGCCTGACCATAGCAGAATAGAGCGGGACGACCACCTCCTGTGATCTGGACACGATGCTTCTGTTAATGCATCCTAATAGTTCCCCTGGAGCACAGGACTGCTTTGGAGGATGGCGTCTGTGGTATTACATCCCACGGAGGCCCCTCCGCTAACCCCGCCCTACCCAGGCACCACCCACCAAATATCCAGGAATTTCCCGACCTAGAGAAGGCAAACCCTAATGGAAATCCACCCCATTGTGATCTCAGCGTACCATTCTAACACGGGCTGTACCCGTGTGATCTCCACCCCTCCGTGCTTCTTACAGTGGAATGCAGCGACAACCTCTTCACCCAGAGGAACGGAGTGATCATCAGCCCGGACTTCCCCAGCCCCTATCCCAAGAGTTCGGACTGCTTGTACCGCATTGAGCTGGAAGAAGGCTTCTTCATCACCCTGCAGTTCGAAGACAACTTTGACGTCGAGGACCACCCGGAAGTCTCCTGTCCGTACGATTACATAAAGGTGAGCACGGCGTGCTGGTGTCGTTCATGTTGTTGTTGTTCAGTCGCACAGTCGAGTCCGACTCTTCGCGACCCCATGGACCAGATCACGCCAGGCCTTCCGGTCTTCCGCCGTCCTCTGAAGTTGGCTCAACTTCATGTTCGTTGCATCGATGACACTGTCTAGCTAGGGTTGCCAGGCAACTGGCAGAGGGTGGGTGGGACTTATCAGGAGAAAGAAGAAGGCCCAGGCCTCATCACCAGCATCACACAGGAAGTGATGTCATCGTGCTGCGACATCTGGGTGACACTTTAGAATTTGGGCAGAAACTCTATGGTAAAACCGGCTTGTCCCCTGGAGTTCTTGCCCAAATACCAGAGCGTCGCCCAGATGTCGCTTGTGTGATGATGTCACTTCCTGTGCGATACCTGCAATAAGGCCTGGGCAAGCTAAGTGGTGGCTGGCGGGCAGGGCCTGGCTTAAGGGGACCCCCTGCCTGCACCGCAGGTCTGGTGTCGGGGGTCCGTAGTGGTTCTCACCATTCTGCCTCCCCTCTCCCTGCTCCTCCTCTGTTTCTTATGGCAGATCAAAGCTGGACTTAAAGAGTTTGGGCCGTTCTGTGGTGAAAAATCTCCAGGGCGCATCGAAACCAGAAGCCACAGTGTCCAAATCCTGTTCCACAGTGACAACTCCGGAGAGAACGGAGGCTGGAAGCTGGCCTACACGGCAATCGGTAACCTTTTCCAATGCGACGTTCCTTGATTTTGTTCACAAGCTGGTGAGGTTTCCTGTGGACCTCCCATGTCCAGCCATCACCATTAAACTGACGCTTACAGATACAATCACACCGCAGTTTTAAACGCATGAAGCTGTGTGGCCATTCTAGAGTTGCCAACCTCCAAGTGGAATAACAACAAGCACACAGGGAACACGGCTAATTTAGATAAACACAGAAAATACCATGTTGAAATAATAAACACAATATTCACATGTACTTATAGCTAAATATATTTGCTTTTTATACACAACATCAACTCTAGTGTATTGTAAACACTTTCAAACTACAACATCACATTTCAAACACTTCCAAACTAAGTTATATAACATGAAGAGTCCAACTGTCTTCTTCCTGATGGAGGATAAATACCAATGTACAGTAATGTGTACCGAACAATGCAGCAACCTATTGTACATTTCCCAAGTGATGATCCATCAGGTAAAGCTAGCAGGCAGCTTGTATTTCTCACTGGGATGTTTCAGCTTATCCAGCAAACCTAGTAGATGTATTTTCCCATGAGGTGATTCAGCTCATGAAATGTGATGTTGTCGTTTGAAAGTGTTTACAATACACTAGAGTTGATGCTGTGTATAAAAAGCAAATATATTTAGCTATAAGTACATGTGAATATTGTGTTTATTATTTCAACACGGAGTTTCCTGTGTTTATCTAACCTCCAAGCGGAGCCTGGAGATCGAGAGGACAGAGATCAGTTCTCCTAAAGACAATGGCTCTTTTGGAGGGTCGACTCTGTGACATCTCCGGGGTCCATCTCCCAAATCCAGAAAACAAATGAATTAAGGACCTGAAAGTTTAAATGGATACAAATCAGGGGGCCCAATGTTAAAATCAATAAATATACAACATAAAAATTACGAGTGATCAAAAATGCATGTATTTATCACAAATTGGGTAAAACAATTATAGGCCCAAATATATCCTTCAATAAAAATTACAAATCGTACAATATGCACAACTGAGACCTAATGCAGCCCTAAAACAGACACGTTTTGGCCTACCAGCCTTCTTCAGTGGTGAAGCGTAAATGCTGCACAAAGTCTCAATTGTTCCAATACTGATATTAATCAATATAGGACCAAATGAAAATTATCTTTCCGAAATCTCCAGTAATTTTCCAACCTGGAGTTGGCAACCCTAGGCCATTCAGATCAAGAGCCCTGGGTGCTGTTGATTTTTGGTCGTGTTTTATTTATTGATGTAGAGACATCGGTATCTTGCTTTTCTCCCCAGTGGTGACCTAAGGCCAGTCACTCTCAGTCCAACATACTTCACAGGACTGTTGTGAAGACAGAAAGAGGGAGTGCTAGTAAGGGTGCCAACCTCTAGGTTGGGCCTGGAAATCCCCCAGAATTATAACTGACTTCCAGACTTCAGAGATCAGTTCCCTTGGAGGCAATGGCAACTTCGGAGGGTGGAGGCGATGGCATACCATATATTCTTGGCGAAATCCTCCCCCAAATTCCCCATTCCACAGGTATCATCACCCCCAAATCTCCAGGAATCTTGCAGGTTAGAGTACACCACCGTAAACTGTTTAGTGGGGGGGGGGGAGGGACAAAACATGTCCTAGGACTAGATGGATGTGCCAGAGTTCTCTGTCCTTCTTCTGTTCTCTGTTGGTGTCTTTCTCTGCCAAGAAGGGGCAGGTATTTGTTATGCTAAGCTACTTCCCTGTGCGGTAAGCCATTTGGCCTCAGCCCACTGGGAATTCCAGCTGCATTTCAATTCCGCTTTCCGCCTAACTAGACATTGTGGGTTTTCTTCTTTCTCTCTCTCTCTCTCTCTCTCTCTCTCTCTCTCTCTCTCTCTCTTAATTTGCGCTCGTGGGTGAAAAGGGGACCCCTGCCCGCTGGTGGAGCCTCCGCTCAACGGCAGAATTGAGCCCTCGCAGGCAACGTACACCTTCAAGGACCAGGTGGTCGTCAGCTGCAACACCGGATACAATGTCCTCAAGGTACACTGTATTGGGATATCTGGTTAATATAGCAGAGTTCGGCCCAGTCACAGAGGCGTGATACTGAGAGCAGTAAATAAATCTCCCAAGAAGTAGATTGCAAACAAAGGTGAACCTCCATTGATTCAAGAAGATCCAGTTCACGTTCAGGTTGACGGCGAAAGGAGAGAGAGAGAGACGCCTAATCCAAAGAGGACTTTCCCTGTCACAAATGGGCAGCTTCTCCAGCATCACGTGTGGGGGAGGATGAGGGCACTGCCTGTACAGGAAGGCCATGTGCATAGAGGGAGAGGACAAAGTGAGCGAGAGAGTAGGGGTCAGGGGGCAACTCCCAGGTTAAGAAGAAGAAAAGAAGAGATTGGATTTATACCCCGCCCTTCACTACCCAAAGGTGTCTCAGAGCGGCTTAAAAACTCCTTTCCCTTCCCCTCCCCACAACAGACACCCTGTGAGGTAGGCGGGGCTGAGAGAACTCTTGAGAGAAACTGCTCTTTTTCAAGAACAGCTGTGCCAGAGTTATGGCTTGCCCAAGGTCATCAGCCAGGTGCAAGTGGAGGAGTGGGGAACCAAACCCGGTTCTCCCAGATTAGAGTCCGCGCACTTAACCACTACACCAAACTGGCAAAGGGAGGCATCCTATTTGTTAAAGATTGGGTTCTGGACGCATTGCCGTGACCAGCTCTAGTTTATTTAGTGATTTCGGGAACACAACAAGGACACCCATCAGGGTTTGAGCCCTGCTTATAAAGCATTCAAGCACCACGCCCCCCCCACACACACACACTCCCAGGGATAGGCTATGTACATTACACTGCTTATCTATAGGTCAATTTCAGGATCCTGGTCAGCTATTGTTCTTGGGGAGCAAGCTCACACAGTTCATAGTCCACATTCAGGGATGGCTCAGGCTCAATACATAACACATTCAAGGAGATAACACCTGTGCATCCTAAGAGTGACATAGCGCCCCACCCCCCAGTATCCAGGCATGCTGACTTGCTCACTCCCACACACTGGTTGCAGGGAACCAACCTCCAGGTAGGGCCTGGAGACCTCCCAGAATGTCAATTGATTTTCAGGAGACAGAGATCAATTTCCCAGGGGTAAAAGGCAGCTTTGGGAGGGTGGGCTCTATGGCATTCTACCCCACAGAAATCCTTCCCCTCTCCAAACCCCCCCCCCATCCCCAAGAATTTCCTAACCTGGAGCTGGCAACCCTAAGAGGAGGACTGGAAGTACCACAGGCTTAGAGGACTTCAACAGCTCAAATAAATGATATGTGTACGAGTTGTCTCTAGATTCACCCCTTTGACATGAGTCGCACAACTCCAGGTTGGGAAATTCCAGGAGACTGTCGGACCACAGTGGAGGTGAGGGAAACGCAGAGGCAGAAAAGGAAACTGACGCCGTTCAGATGTGGTCCCCGGAAGCGAGCTCTACTTCTATCCTCCTGAAATATCCTGGGTTCGAGACGCGTATAGTGATCAGCTCATCGTTTATTAGTGATTTCAGCTTCACTCCAAGACAACTCCAGCCGGGCCGGAGCCCTGCTTACATGTGTGCAAAACACCCCACACCCCACCCACACCCACTCCCCATGATAGGCTATTTACATTACAACTCCTGCTCAATAGGTCCATTCCAGGATCCTGGCTATCTATTGTTCTGGTGTACAAGCTTCGTCAGTTTCCAGGTACAGTTCAGGCTCAGTCAGGGGTCATGTCCTGCCGGAGCACACAGGAGCGGAGCTTGGGCAGTAAAGAGCCCAGGGGGCAGGCACATGCAACAAGCCCCGCCCCCTGCTCCCAGCAGCCCCGGGCCACGAGGAGCAAGAAGCAGCCAGGTAAATTGCAGTGGGTGTTGCCTTCTGACACACTTCCGGTGATGTCAAGGGTGTGTGGCATATGCAAATAAGTTATGCTGATCAGTTATGCTAATGAGCTCCTGCACTTCTTTTTCTACTAAATGACCCCTCAGTACATAACACCTTCTTAGAGTTGCCAGCTTCCAGGAGGGGTAAGGGTGCCAAACCCTCCGGTTTGGCAGGGGTCACCCGCTTTTTGGGGGCTTCTACCCACCACCAGCCAGATGGCCACCAGGGGAAGCCCCGCCCCCATGCCCCAACACCCACCGCCACTCCCTCCCTTCTCTCTTGAGAAAGAGGACGGAGAGGGGTGGCTGCGGGCCACGCACCCAATCTCCACTCAGAGATCGGGGGCACGGAAACGCCAGCTCCCTGCACTTAAAGGGAACTCATTAACTGGCGTGCCGGGAGAGTGGGCGGGGGGGGGGACATCCCCAACGTGACGTCATCACATCGGGGATGCCCCGCCCCCTCCAGGAACGCCCCCCAAAATACCCCGCAGGGGGTGAAGATGGCACTTGGCAACCAGAAGAAGAAGAGAGATTGGATTTATACCCCGCCCTTCACTCGAAGTCTCAGAGCGGCTTACAAACTCCTTTCCCTTCTTCTCCCGACAACAGACACCCCATGAGGTAGGTGGGGCTGGGAGAGGTCTCTCAAGAACTGCCCTTGAGAGAACAGCTCTGAGAGAACTTGTAACTGACCCAAGGTCACACCAGCAGCTGCAAGTGGAGGAGTGGGGAATCAAACCCGGTTCTCCCAGATTAGATTCCGCACACTTAACCACTACACCAAACTGTGTAACATAGAGGTCTTCCAGAATTACAGCTCATCTCCAGATGACAGTGACTGGTTCCCCTGGAGAAAATGGCTGGTTTGGAAGGCGGACTCTATGGCGTTATAAGCCTCTGAGGTTCATGCCCTCCCCCAAACCGTGCTCTCTCCAATCTCCACCCCCAAGCCTCCAGGAAATCCCTGCCACCCCTGGGACTCCTTCTCCCCTCTCCTACAAGAAGACCTAGCATCAGTCCAACCATGTCACGCGGTCGATGTCGCCCGCCCGTTTGACAACCCCTCCCGTCCGCCTTCTGTATCCCTCTGTGCAGGATGACGTGGAAAGCGAAACCTTCCAGATCGAGTGCATGAAGGACGGGGCGTGGAGCAACAGAGTTCCAGTCTGCAAAAGTAAGATCCTTTTCCGTCCTCTTTAGCCCTTTCTTAACAGCTGGCCCACGCAGCGTCGGCTGAGGTTAGAGCACTCCGCATTCAGGTGGCGTCTCATTTACACCTTCCCCATGAAGGACAGGTATGCCAAGGTCCGGAGCATCTTTGCACAGGTAGCAACTGTGTTTGAATGTGATGCCGTTAGGGTTTTCCAAATGTAGCTTGGTAAATCCCCAGAGACGGGGGGGGGGGCAGAAACTGCTGAATCCACTGCCTGTAGAGGTGGGACAGACACAACTATAGAAGGTTTTAGACGGGGATTGGACAGATTCATGGGGGACATGTCTATCAGTGGCTACTACTCATGGGGACTTAAGGGGACCTCCATGTTTAGAGGCAGTCAACCTCTGAATCCTGGTGACAGGAGATGACATTAGGAGAAGGCCTCTGTGCCCTGTTGCTAGAGCTCTGGAGGAACTGGTTGGCCACTGTGTGAGACAGGATGCTGGACTCGATGGACCCCTGTTCTGATCCAGCAGGGCTCTTCTGGTGTCCTTATGAAGGCTTCGGCCTCTCTGCCCTGTTGTTGGAGGAACTGGTTGGCCACTGTGTGAGACAGGATGCTGGACTCGATGGACCACTGGTCTGATCCAGCAGGGCTCTTCGAATGTTCTTCCATTCTTATACTGCTGCCAGAGGGTGTAGTGATGGCCATATACACAGACAGCTTTAAAAGGGGTTTGCTTTAGACAGATTCATGGAGGAGAGATCTATCAGTGGCTACTAGTCACAGGGACTAAAGGGAACCTCTCCATGTTCAGCGGCAGTGAGTCTCTGAATCCCAGTGCCAGGAGGCAACATCAAGGGAAGGCCTCTATACCCCGTAGTTGGAGCTCCAGAGGAACTGAAATGCAGGCCTCTCCATTTCAGTCGTTCATTGTGCCCTGAAGTATTTCCTTTTGTCCTTCCTGAATCGACGCCCCATCAGCTTCATTGGATACCCTCCAGTCCAAGCATTTTGGGAGAGGGAGAAAAAGGTTCTCTTGGTCAACTCTCTCCACCCCGTGCAGTTTTATAAGCCTCTATCGTCCCACCCCACCCCCGTTGTTTCTTTTTTAAATCATAAAGTCCCAGACTCCGAGTCCTCAGCCTTTCGCGATAGGGAAGATGCTCCAACCCCCCCCTAACCATCTCAGTGGCCCTCTTCTGTAACGCTGCACAAACATTAATCGCAGTGGTAAGCATGGCTCCCTCTCCATACTTTGCTTCCTTCCGCCCGCGCATGGACATTAATGGCTCTTGGTTTTTATCGGCTGCCTCCCTGCATGCTCTCTCTCCTGGCTGCCTGGTGGCTAATTCCCGCTTTCTTCTCTTCTTGCTTCTCCTCCTCACCCCCTTTCCAATCCTCCCTTTCCCCCTCCTGCCTCTTGCCACAGTGGCTGCAACCGAAGCGACAGACGTCAGGACAGAGGTCAAAGAGGATGCGGACCAAGTGGCGGATTGACCAGAGTACCCGGCGCACTGTGCCTTTAAGGAAGGCGGGGCCTCAGCCCTACCTGGGGGACTATTAAGACCACACCCCCAAATGATGATCTCTGTGGAGGCACGCCTTTCCAGCCGCTCTCTGGGGGAGGGGGCAGTTAACCTCTTCCTGCCCGGCATGCTTTTAACTCCAAGAACGAGGGAAGAGAGAAGCAGGGAAGTCACAGTCTTCGCATGGCATGAAAGAACGGATGCTTCTCCTTGGAACGAAGTCACCCTGGATGGTGGGTGGAGCTCTGCACCGTTCTCGGGATGCCTTCTGCACACACACCCCACCCTATCTCACTCTCTTTCTCTTTCGGTAGACTCCAGCCCTGTTTGGGCAAGAATGAAATCACTTTTGCAAGGATCGGCTGATCCGGCTGTGGGTTTCTTGGTGGCGGCGTTTGTTCTCCCTTACTCGGTTTTGACGCCTTTTCTGCCTGCGCTATTCTCAGGACTGACAAGTTTCTCTTTTAATGTAGCTTCGTCTCTTTACTTCAAAACTCAACCCCCGGGGGGGGGGGGTCTCATGGGACTATGCCGCCAGCCTCGGTTAATCGGTGAATATTCTGGTCCCTTTTTATTTTATTTTATTTGCCAACTTGAAAATTCCTGTTCCCCTCGGCTGGAAATGCAGGGATGGCGGACTCGCCAGCAAAATCTGGGAGACAAAGGTTAATGGCATAGGAGCCCTGCCAGAGAAAAAAAACTGGCAACCCTATCCGCGTTTGCTTTATTTATTTATTTATTTATTTATTTATTGTTTCAATTTCTATACCGCTCATAACCCCTAGCGGGTCTCAGAGCAGTTTACAATTGTCTACTTGCGTAGCATATACCTAGCTAGGGACACAATTTTTCGGGGGGAGGGGGTTCCCTACCAGCACCCATGCGGCAGATCTTCTTCCATTTCTTCTCCTGGTGGCCTTGTTGTTGTTCCTGACGATCCTGGCGATGTTGTGACCAACTTCCGGCAGGCTCTGCTGGCTTCCGTCGATGCGCAGTTGCTTCGGGCGCAGCTTCCGGCTCTACGTCCTTTCGGCTCCAGCCGTGCTGCGTCCTTGTTGCCGCTGCGTCATCCGGCTCCGCCTCCGCTCACTCTGGTCGCCGCCTCCAGGATCGCCACTGCTCCGTCGTCGCCTGCCGCCACCTGCTGCTGCCGCCGTCATCCAACCGCACTCCTGGCACGGGACCAGGAGGAGGGTGCCTCCCTGCCACCTAGGGCAGGTACCCATTTGTCTACTTGTTAATTACTTTCGAGCCACTGGGTTGGCGGGAGCTGGGACAAGGGTCGGGGGCTCAACCCGACCGCGGTGGGATTCGAACAGCCATTGAGGCTGTTCGCTACAGATGTTACCTACAGGCGTCATGGACAATTTTTAGGCAGCGGCCTGGAGCGGCCCCTTAAGAGGGGGCGCCCCCTGGTGTACTCCCAAAAACAGTAGCCTGGGAAGAAAGCCAAGTCTGGAAATGAGTTAATGGCAAAACTACGTTGTCAGCGATGTATTTTAGAAGAAGAAGAGGAGGAGATTGGATTTATACCCCGCCCTTCACTTGGCATCTCAGAGCGGCTTACAAACTCCTTTCCCTCCCCCTCCCCACAACAGACACCCTGTGAGGTGGGTGGGGCTGAGAGAACTCTGACAGAAACTGCTCTTTTTCAAGGACAGCTGTGCCAGAGCTTGTGACTGACCCAAGGTCACATCACCAGGTGCAAGTGGAGGAGTGGGGAATCAAACCCGGTTCTCCCAGATTAGAGTCCGCACACTTAACCACTACACCAAACTGGTTATTATGTGTTAGTGAATAGCTGGGTGGGATGTGCAGGTGACCAGTGTGGTGGTGTTTGAAAATTGGGAGGTGCACGGGGGGGGGGGCAGAAGGTAGCCTCGCCTAGTGTGCAAAAAAACCTGGAGCCGGCCCTGTCTCATTGTGTATGCCGCACAACCACACAGTGAAAGTGCTGAAACAAAACAAGATTTCAACCAAGGGCAGTTCTGCATCTGGCACTCGCTCCACATTTTCTCAACTGGGAGGAAAAGGTGCCGCTCAAAAGCACATGCAAATACCCCGGGGCAAGGCCGTACTGACTGCAAAGTCACCCCTGAGCGGCCGTAAATCTATGCAGGAGGTACCATAAAACCCGATGGTCAAAGAAAGTGAAAGCAGCATGCAGTGTAGAGGGCAATTTCTGTTCCAAGGTGGGTTTGGTAAGACAACGGAGGATAATAGCCAAGTGCAGAATAGTCCCAAGATAGCATTCCTCCCTAGAGGGGCTAGAAGAGACCTATCAGGATAGGAACGCAACGCCCCGTGAAGACAGGGTAGATCCAGCGGAAGCCAAAGAAAGCCAAATTCCCTGGCAGATCTCGGTTCATGCTTGTTTACTCCAAGGGCCACCCAGATAAGGGCAAGGTTGATAAGCAGGGGTCATTTCCTGCAGGAGTCCGGCAGTAAAGAGCCCAGGGGGAGGGCACATGCAACAAGCCCCACCCCCTGCTCCCAGCAGCCCTCAGTCAGAGCAAGAAGCAGCCAGGTAAGCTGCAGAGCCCCCCCCCCCGTCCCCCTGGTCCAAAACATTCCAGTGGCACCTTTAAGACCAAGTTTTATTCAGGCATAAGCTCTCCCTCCTCTGTGAGGACAGATCTGCACGTCCCGCTCCCCCCCAATAGCTAGCAATCCAAAACAGTCCAGTGGAGCCTGAGCGGTGGGTGCTGCCTTCTGACACACTTCCGCTGATGTCAGGGGGTGTGGCATATGCAAATGAGTTATGTTAATGAGTTATGCTAATGAGCTCCTGCACCTCTTTTTCTATGAAAGGACCCCTGTTTATATGTGTACAAACAAAGCAGGGACTCTCTGGTGTGCATGTTGGAGGACATCCCCGAGGTATAGTCCAGGACATGCTAGCAAACAAAAAGTGGACTGAGGAGGGGTGAGTTGCTATGACAACACCATGGTCACCCAGCCAAAAACATCCCAAAGGAAACTCTGACTCCATGGTGTGTTGGGGGCAGCCGACTGACCCCGAGTTAGATCATGAGACCATCTGAATAGCAACAGCTCACTGAGGCCTTGGGCAGAGATCTGTCCTCACTCCGGTTGCCGGACACCCCTCCCCCGCTGGAGGTGGGGGTCCCCCGCTGACAGGCCTCCCCTCCCCACCGCCAATTAGCCAATCACCGGAGGGAACGTCCCCCTGAAAAAGAGGGGAATCCATTAGATGTGCAGCGACACGTCTTTGTCACGGCTCATGTGACTAGGGTTGCCAAGTCGGAAAATGTACTTACTGGGGGACTCCCGGTCCAAGGCTGGAGCACGGGCATGACCAGGAAGTGACGTTATGATGCCGGCCACGCTGAGGGCGGGGCCACGACCATCTGAGGGAAAACCATAGAGTTTTCCCTCGGATGACCGTGGCCCCGCCCCCAGCGTGCCCGGCGTCATAACGTCACTTCCTGGTGACGTGCACGCCAGGGTGGGGTTCCCCCTGGGGC